CACTATGTTTCTGCTGTCCATTCTGACCCCTGCACCACTGCCTCATCCCCAGATAACAGGGCAACTGTAAAAGCCTTTTGCTCTTGCCCATCTTAAGATAATCTCTAGATCATTTAACAAATATTAACATAACTGAAATATTTTTTTTCCATATCTGCTTCGCCTCTTATGGGATATACGGTTTTAAGCTCTGAGATTGTGTCAGATAACTGAGTGCTAAGAGTTCTGGTGGAAACGTGTTCAAGTGTCTCAGTGTTAGAATGCTGGTCTGCAGCGTGTTCAGTGTCTCAGTGTTAGAATACCGGCCTGCAGCGTGTTTGGTGTCTCAGTGTTAGGAATGCTGGCCTACAGCGTGTTCGGTGTTTCAGTGTTAGGAATGCCGGCCTACAGCGTGTTCGGTGTCTCAGTGTTAGGAATGCCAGCCTGCAGCGTGTTCAATGTCTCAGTGTTAGGAATGCCGGCCTGCAGCGTGTTCAGTGTCTCAGTGTAAGAATGCCGGCCTGCAGTGTGTTCAGTGTCTCAGTGTTAGGAATGCCAGCCTGCAGCGTGTTCAATGTCTCAGTGTTAGGAATGCCGGCCTGCAGCGTGTTCAGTGTCTCAGTGTAAGAATGCCGGCCTGCAGTGTGTTCAGTGTCTCAGTGTTAGGAATGCCAGCCTGCAGCGTGTTCGGTGTCTCAGTATTAGAATGGTAGCCAGGAGCGTGTTCAGTACTAATTTAGAATATTGCGTACAGTTTGGTTTAAAACAAAACATATTGATACCAGGATCGTTCCCAAGAAGAGCACTGAGAGGCTAAAAGAACTGGATATTTTTAATCTTAAAAAGAGAATCAGCCTGATTCTAGTTGTCAGATTCTTCAAAGGCATTGACAACGTCAACGTATTAAACGTATGATTCAACAGAGAAACATGAACCAGAGAACACAAGTGGAAATTACATCTCGATGCATTTGAAACTGAAAACAGGAAACACTTTGTTCCGCAAAGAGTTGTGGGAATCTGAAACAAGCTGCCCAGCCACGATTTTGAAGCAAGTACTTTAGGCTCATCATTGCCTAACAGGCTCGAAAGTCGAATGGGTCAATTATTTTTTATTTTATTTTCGGCCCTAGAGTGCCAATCTGAAGTGTGTTCAGTGAACTTGGTGCAAAAGTGTGGAAGGCAATTTGATAAGTACAGTAACAGTTCATTATAATTGCTGAAATTTTTCACTCTTGGAGTGCATAAATGATCTTTTTGTACAGAGAAATGGACATTCTGAGTTCCTGTTCTGGTGGCCTGCAGCGTGTTCAGTGTCTCAGTGTTAGATTCAGTGCTCTTGATTTGAAACAAATCTGGTGGGTCCTGCTTCTTATAAAAGTGAACAGAGCTATAGCGGGAAAGTTAGGAGAACCTGCTGTCCTTGACACTTCAGTAGAAGCTACATTTCAGATGTTCTGCGGCCCTTTGTGTGGCTGGAGACTGGGTTCTGCACTGAGAAGTCATTAAGGTCGAGATCCTTCCATATTCAAGGAGAGATGCGTAAGAGGTGAGTGTTGAAGAAAGCTGTGCCTTTCATTATTCTAAATCTGCTAGGCATGATACCAAGGCATAAAAAGCAGGCAGAAGTAAAGCTGACCTGCTTGTTTGATGATAACAGCACAGCTGCAGACAGCCTGAGGATTCAGGACTCAGAATCTGGATGGTATGGATAACAGGAGCAGCAATAGCATTATTAGCAATGGTGAAAGGTGGGGGAGGGGTGGCAGTGTCAGAAGAGACTGTTGAAACCTCAGTCCTGTTACACAGTTCACATGTGCTGTGCTAGGAAAAGCACACATGAGACATTTTCGGTACATCGAGTTTTGCTCTTGCGACAGACCAGAGCATTGCAGGGTTCTGTTCGCTCCCTGCAGCCAGTGTCCGAGAAGACGGTCTCTCATATCTTCACTTAGCTAGGGTCTAAGAAATAGACACGCTAGTCTGGATATGATCTTTCTACCTACTGTTTTGGAATGTGTGCTGCTTGGTCCTCAGTGTGTACAAGTGGAGTTTAATCTTAGCAGGGCTGCAGTCATCGTTTCTGTCATTCTCTGTTCTGCTGCTCAACAAGTGGTCAGATGTGACAGGGTTCTCAAATGGCTGCAGTCTTCTGCTATCTTCAGAAACAGCTGCTTCTCTGACTTGGCTCTGCCCCCTGGTGGTGATGTTGGTACTATACGCCTGTGTGTGCAGGTAAAATGAGCTCAGTGGGCCAGGTGAATGTCTTCCTATCTGCAGCCTTCATTATATTCTTATTCTTGTATAGGTGGTTAGGGTCTTCCATGTAAGCTGCTTGTACAGCTGAAACGCAGCTTGGCATTTTGTTTATGGGGGAATGAAATGAGCTTGTTTGTGTAGCTCCACCTTCCCTTTGGCCAGACTTACAGTTCAGTGCTCTTTGTGTAAATATTCAATAGGATTTATAGTAACCATGTTATTTGAAACAAAATCTACAAATTTGAAAAAAAGAGTAATTAGGGTCTAGGGCATATGAAAAAGTCTGTGAACCCCTAGTTTCATTAACTCAATTAAGAGTATAATTAGAATAAAATGTTTAAAAAATTAGGTAGATATTGGCAGTTACATGTGGAAGACCCCATCCTATATAGAGATCAGAAACATTTTGAATCTGATTTTCACCATACAGGTGTGTTTAAACAAGTCATTTCATGATCTAAGGAAGGATTGAAGGAAAAAAAAATATTGATGCTTATCATTCCGGAAAGTGTTATAAAACTGTTTTTTTAAAGCATCTGGTATTCTGAGATGGTCTGATTAAAAACTGGAGAAATTTTAAAACCACAGTCACTGTACTTATTAGTGGCAGTGGTCTACCAAAATCTATAGAATTGTGTGAAAAATCATCCATGAAATTACAGAGAACCCAGGAATTGTTGCCCTACCAAAGTTGTCCCAGAACAAACCAGAACTGGACAGATGAGTCATAGACAAAACTCTTCGTCCTCAATGAGAAACATTATTTTTGTCGAAAGCCAGACAGTGCTACCCAACAGAAGAAACTCATCCGAACAATCAAGCATGATGCTGGAAGTGTGATGATTTGGGGCTCCTTACTGCCTCAGGAGCTGGATGACTTGCCATCATTGACACAGCCATCAATTCTGCATTGTACTGTATCTAATGATTCTAGAGGGGAATGTCAGGCCATTCATCTTTCAGCAAGCAAGTGATCCTAAACTTACAAGCAGATCTACAAAATAATGGCCACAGAAGCAGTAGTTCTGTGTTTTACAATGGCCTAGTGGCCTAACTTCATCGAAATGTTGAAGCAGGACCTGAAGAAATCTATCTGTGCAAGGCAGCCTTCAAATGTCTGTAGCTGTTGCTGTGTCCTTGTGTTCTGTTCCTAGCTTTTTGTCTGCAAGTGTCTAGCTGAACCCTGTATTTTGTAGGAATCTCTTGTGAGCCCTCATCACCTCAGGAGAGAGTCCAGCTTGATCTTTCAGGACAGAATGGGCCGTACAGCTCATTTTCCTGTCAGTTGTCAGACTGACACCCACTGAATAGAATCACAAACAAGAGCTCTGCATGATGCTGTTTTTTCCAATTCTCCTGCAGTTGTATAGTGTCTTAGATTGATTAATGCACTACACAGGTGCGTTCGGCAGATAAATTAATGGGCCAGACGACAAGCAGAGACAGTTGAACAAATTGACTTTCGGCAATTAATAAGTACTTTGCAGAGTTTATGGTAAATCATTGTTAGTATGTAAGAGAAGTACAGTACAGTATATAAGTTATACCCAGCTCAGAGACAGATGATCTTGTCAAAGCCTGCTCTCAGTAGATGGCACTGTCTTTCCTCTAAGGCAGATATAGCACTTGTAGGGGACATAACCTTGCTCTTAGCTTTTTTTTTTAGCCTGTAACCTCCTCTCACCAGAGACAACATTTTCCTGACATTTCCTTATTGCCATGTATAGCTACACTGCAGGAGTAAGTCATTGGGAATTTGTAGAAAATGTTGAGGACATAAAATTGGAGGCATTACGTCATTCAAAGAGTTATGTGTTTAGAGCTACCCAAGTATGTTACTACAGAGGTGAATGTACTGGGACCTTTTCATGAAACACACTAAGTGAAAAGACAACACAGTTACTGTAGTATGACCTCATTGCACATTAACACATTGGCAGTGTTGATGTGTAGACCTGATCGTGCTCTGGATAGACTGCTGTGGGATGTTCCGCTGCTCTTTCGGTGCAGCTTCGTGCAGATGGTGATGGTTGGCCAGTCATGGTTGTCTCAAATTGGTCTCAGTGTTTTCTTGAAGTTGTGCCATTGTAATCTTAGCACTGTGTGGAATGGCTCGCTGGAGCAGGGAAATTGATTACTTTTGTCCAGGTGTTGAGTTGTGGACTTACACTTGTTCCACAAATCATTCTGCTACCCCACTGAACAAAATACTTTCCCACTTCACCCTGTCCTCTCAGTGAGATATGAATCTATGAAACTCTGATAGTTGCATTTTCATTGTGCATCTATATATACTGTATAATGCCATAATTCTTTGTAGGGAACTATAGTGAGGTTATTACATGGGTTGGGAAGAATGTTCTAAGGATTGGAAGCTGTTTTGCAAATGAATATGTAGACCACTATCTATTGCCTGTGTACTGTATAATGAATAATCTAATCTTAAAACAAAACAAGGTTGATGTTATGTAATTGGAAGCCATCAATTATTGGATGAAGAACCTGACATCCACTTAGTCTAAAGCTGAAGCCCTCGTTTTAAATGTCCCTTGCTGTTTTCTCACTTTCAGATGGTGATTTTGTGTAGTATTGGAAATGACTGATTTCTGTATTGTCCCTGGAGAGGGACATTTACAGTACCGTGTTTGTGTTGTGCAGGCACTCGCCAGTCCTGTCAAAGCTGGAATTGTCCCCTAGTGGTTTGATCATTCTCCTATGGTAAGAGAGTCTCGTCACTGAGCTCTGTCTTTTCTTTTCACACAGTGAAAGAAGAGAAGCCACAGACACCAGAAAACAAACAGGAAAAGCCAGAGAAACAAGACAAAGCAGAAAAGGAGGAGAGTGCAGCCCAGAAAGCCGAGAAATCGGAAAAGGCTGAGAAAGCCGAGAAACCGGTCAAGGTAGAGAAAGCCGAGAAAACGCAGAAAGTGGAGAAGGCCGGTAAAGCTCCAGCGACAAACGGAATAAGTGCTGCTCCTAACAAGACTCTTCCACCCAGTCCAGAGAAGAAGACCAAGGTAGGCTCTGTGAGGTGAGGGGTCACCACACTGATGCTTCATTAGCTGCATTTGCCTTGTCTGCTACTGTCTTGAGAGTGAAAGAGGCCCTGAGTTTAGGAATAACATGGGGTATACAGGGATGGTCAGTGTGTCGCTGTAAATGACAGTGTCTCGGTGTGGATGGCTG